TTTTTAATTAATATGTCCGATAACGTATTATAACAATGTTTAATTAGAAACATGTAAATTTTATTACCGTATTACTGGTTCGCTTTCGCAAAAAAAGCATAATTTTATGGTCAAAGTATTTAGAATATTGTCTGTCCTTTTTTAACTTATAAATATTTCATATTTGTTTCATTTTTCTAAAAATTTGCTATTTTCCTTCAAATTAAAATTTCTATCGAAATATGTTATTAAATAAAAAGCAATATAATATTGTAGTTAAACAAATAAATCGAGAGGAAAAATAACTTTGACTATATTTGAAATCAAATATTTTTATTGTGTATCTGTCTGGCGTCAACTTACTTTTTGGGGCTAAGCTCCTTTTGATTTAATGTAATCCGTTAATTTTCCTTATTCCGCTTAAATCAAAACAAGCGCATGCTTGCTATGCTCTGTCAGTGCATGAGCGCATAAATGTTTTAATTATATTTCTTATTAAAATAAAATTTTGTTATCATTTATACAGTTCATTATTATGAATTAAATGATTCATTTTCTTAGAGAAAATTATGACTCAGATATAACTGGATTTTGTCAATCTCACATTGAACGATATTATGCCTCTTGGATTGCAAAAGGTTTTTTTTTAAACAATAAAATTTTGCTCTAGAACGCAGATTTATAAATACACTCAAGAACTAATGAAATTCAAACTACCAGCACATTCCTTTACTAATTTTCGTACAGCACAGAAGGTGCCAACGTTTTCCCCTGACTTAATCATTCAAATCTGAAAGACAGAGGTTTGTGCTTATGATTTAACATCCCTGAAAATTGTCTGATGCATGGAATGGTACTAAATATCAGTAGGTCTGTTGCTGTTAGTTTTGCATTGAGACCAGAAGCGGCAAATTTGTAAAAATGGGTATTTTTATAATTATTCGAAAGTTTAGTTTTGTTAATTTTAAAAATTTAGTATTATATGTGCCCAAGTTACCGGGTATCACAATGACCAACTATTTGAAAAAATCAATTAAAGACAAATGGAAAATGTCAGATATTTTTAGTTTGCTGTTTTTGCTTAGGGATTTATTTTTAATAAGTCTTAATATCAATTTCAAAGTTCATCTAGAGATCGCGCTGCTGACAGAACAAACTATAAAACAATATTTTAGTTTGCATGTTGCACCATTCTGTTGTTTTATTTTCCTCAAGATGCAACAGGAAGAGCTTCAAGCAATGGTTCTTTTACAAACATTGTCTTATAATTTTTCTCAATCAGCATCACCATTTTAGAAAAAAATTGGAACTCAGTGAGATTAAATTATATGGTTTTCTCAGTAGAACGCGTTTAACCTTGCATTTCTATTTCCTTCTATTTTTTATTTATTGTATTTTTTCCAAATCATGTGTTGATTTCAAATTACTCGCTATTTCTTTTTTTTTAAAGGCAGGCGATGAACTTTCATTGCTAGGAAGTGTTATTCATTTACGTTACCCAGTGGGCACTTGTGAATCTAAATGAAGGCGAGCAACATTACCCACGCCACAGAGCCACAAATACCCGTTTATAGGGTGGGCCACATTCGCACATCACACAGCAGAGAACAACACACAGAGAGGGAATGTCCTGAGCTGGATTCAAACCAGCAGCCACTGGCTTCACAGTCAAGCACACTAACTGCTCGGTCACCTGGCCAGCACCCGGTATTTCTAGGCCCCTGTTTTGGGCAAATGTGTTTTAAAAGCTATTTAGCCATTTAGGAATTGAAAAAGTCAAACTTATTTACAAAAATTTCTCAAAATTAAGAAAAAGAGCATAAAATTCGAGAAGTATTATTAAAAAAACAAAACTAAATTAGTAGTGCTTTGTATATTTCTTTCCTTTTATGGGAATTCTGTTACATTAAAATAATGGTTTGACAAGTTTTTTAATTGGTTGTACTCAATTATTTCAAGAAAAAAAATTCTCAGAACTTCTTAAACCATCTTGAAAATGTATTTATCATTTATAATAACTAAAAAAAGTCCTAAAAGACAAAAATCATATTCTTTCATAGCAAGAAAACAGATTTCTCTTTTGGGATTACTACTCATCAATTTTATTAGAAACATCCTTCACATCTTACTTCTACTGTTCGCAAAAGGTCAACGGAAGTACTAATTTGATAAATAATTCATTAATTAGCACTGTGGGGATATATTCTGTGGTTAAAGTGTTATTTTAGTTTTTGCTCATGGTATAAATAAATAACCAAAACACGAAAATTAAAAAAAACATGTTACGTGATTCAGGCATATATTCTGAAAGCTAAACTCATTTATAAGATAGATTAATTAATAAGATAGATTAATTAATAAGATAAACTAATTCCTTATGTAAAAAAAAACTCATTAATAAGGTAGCTTTAATAGTGCCATTTGCAAAAAAAGTCTTAGTAAAGTGGCTCATTTTTTTAACACCGTAAACGTCTGAGTTTATTACTTTATCATTTGACTGTTATTTTTCCTTTTATCATTATATAATTAAAGAAACAACTCCTATGAATAGTTAAAATCAAACTGTTCTGAAACGTTAAGTCATTTATTTGTTTTGCTTTACCTTTTGTTATAGTATATTGCATTTGGAAACTTTCATCTGTTTTTATTATAAAAAGTTTGAATTTGGCTCTTCTCTCCAACCTCAGCAATGGCTGGGAGGGTGGAAACCAGTTTCAAGAATTTTTGCTAGGTGTCCCTAAATTTTGTTTTTTCCTTTACGCACAGGGACCACACCAAACCATGGAGGCCTGGTTTGCATTATGTCTACGGAAGCTGCTCTTCTTCCCCTATGTATGATCTTTGCTAAAAGTGCCAAGTTGTTCTCTTGCAGTGAATGTCGTTCCATTGTGGTATGCCTGAAAATAATAGTTGTCCCAAAATATGCAGAAGATTAGAATTAAATAGATAAATAATTTGAATGAAACAGTTTTTTTCCTCATTTATATAGATTTTTATTCAAACATAAAGTACATAGGATATGGTTATGTATTGAATCGGAAAAATTGAGCTTATCAGGAAAATTATTTCCACGGCTTTTCTGTCATATGCATACTCATTTATTAAAATATTCCATGACAATTTTTCATAAAGTTGGCTAAATTTCGTAGATGCTACGTTGAATTTTTACCTTCAATGCACGGTTTGGACGTGGGAATTTGTTGACATACAATTATGACTCCAATTAAACTCTTCTCAATAGCTTATGATCGGGAAATGTCGCATGTAGTAATTGGATTGTTTCATGGATTTTCAACAATGAAAACACGTTGTTCTTAATTTTAGTGCTGTATTTTTACAAACCCTAAACTGTCAGCTGTGTAACTTTTTTTTTTTGGTCGCCTGCACTAAATAATCAGTTTTCTATTTAATTAATGCCTTGCTTTAATTTTGAGACACTCTTTAGATAAGTTAACCAAAAATGGGTGTACCATCTAGCAAACTCCTTTTCCGGTAGTTTGGTATGGATCTGCTGCCTCAAGAATCAATTTGGCAGAAAGAGATATACATATATCCAAGCTAAAACAAAGATTAGGTAGAAACCTCTGGAGTAACACTTTCCTTATACTTCCGAACCATCATAGTTACAGAGCGGTCATTGCTTTTGTATTACACGATTGTTTTCGTGATCAAGATTATCGACTTCAGATTGCCAACAGCCCTGCTTGCCCTCAACGTTGCGACTACAAGGACTGTGGGTAACATCCCTCACTTCCCGGGAATAGAAGAAAGGATCTATCTACTCCCCATTATTGGGCGGCTCTTATGATAAGCGAAAGAATCAGATAAACTAATTAAACTGCATTCCACTGTTAATTTGATAAAACCCAACTCAACCACAACCTATCTCCAATCCACATTGACTAACAAAGTGCCTTGCTCCAGAGTTCAGATAAATGTCGTTCTTTATGGTTTTTAAACCATGCAATTTGTAAATGGTTAAAAAACTGTATAGTTTTCAATTCATGATATTTAACCATGCTATTTGTATACGGTATCGAAACCGTAAAGGTAAAAAAAGTTTTTTACCGTAAACTTTATGCTTAACTGGATGGACGGACCTTAATCAGTTATTTTACCGTAATTTTAAAAGGGAAATTCTAAATGTGTGTTAAAGTGGTAATATGTTCTATTCTATTTTTATCTACGACAATACATAAAAATATACCGAGGATTAGAAATAATAAATTAATAAGAGTTCTCGAGAAAGGAGAGCATAATACCGATCTAATCTTTAAGCTTAAACAAGACAATTAAGTTAAAATTTAGTTCTGAATAAAAGTTTTAGAAGGATTTTATAGTCTAGTAAATGGACAGAAGTCAACATAAATTATTGCAAAAAATTTCTAAAAAAATTTCTAAAAAATTTTTTTTTCAAAAAACGAGGTCAATTTTGGACGATCATGATAATAACTACTTCATGAATGGTAATATAGCAATGCAAAGCGAAAAAGGAATTTCAATTTTTTAAAATTATATTAAGTTGTTTCAATGCAAAAAACTTGTTACTAGAACTTGTTGCAAAATAATAAAATGCGATATATCATAATTTTTACAGTAATATTCATTTAATTCGAGTTATTCGGTGATTTTACGGCAATAATTACTGTTCGGTAGATAATACTCTCTACGGTATAATATTTTACTTTAAATATTGATTTTACAGAAAAATGGATGATGTGAATGTGTATTCAAAGTGCTGGTACTTTATACAGTAATTTAATCCGGAATTTTTTGCAGTGTTGGCTAATTACTTCAAACTTTGGATTAATATGCAATAACCTTAATCATGGAAAAATTTGCTAGATTTTTTCAAAAACCTTTTAAAACTGATACAAAACCAATTATGTTTATTAACTATAATCCATCACAGTATTTCACATTCTTTTGAAGAACACATTTTTTTTCAAAATATTTTAACTTATTTCCATCTAAACACTTCAATAGTCTCTTCTAAAGAAACAAAACGCATTGTTGCAAAATGGGTTTTTTTTTCTATTTATTGAGAATGCCAAACTTGCAAAATATATATCGTTACGTATCACAATATTAATACGAATATTATTTAGATTGAAGTCTTCAAAAGTTTTAATACACGTGTTAATTATGCTCTACAAACATCACATATTTTTTCCAGATCACAGTTTTCGGCTAGTGGCAGATAGTTATCATAAAATTCTTTTAGAGAGCATAATTTATCATTTTTACATCCATCAATTCTAACTGGCATTTCATTGTGTAAAGTCATGATCTTTAAATCACCATTACAGTCATAAAGCACAAATGCTATGTTTGTGTTGAAGGGTGCAAATGAGCTTGCGCGCCATCTTCTATTACTTTGAGAGCAAAAGGACTTTGCTGTTAATTTTTTATCATTCCTAGAAATTCCTATAGCTGTAAAAAATCTCGACAAAGCCCCGCTATGACCAAATTGTAAAACTATTTTGCTCATTCTGGTTCTCTCATATGATCTAGAAAGCAAGAATAAATTGCATGAATTAATGATTAAACTAATTAAAGTTTGGTGATAAAAAGTGTACTCCATATTCAAAAGAAATTTGTCATAATATGTAAATAAAAATGCATTAAAAACCTAATATCTGTCTTTAAGGGGTTACAGTACCTTTGCAACAATTTTTTTAAATAAAGGTATAATCATTCATTTTGAGGATGCTTTACATGCTTATTTAACTTATAATCAATAATTTATCTTTAAAAAACAATTAAACTGTTTAAATTTTTTAAAATTTTAAAAAAAGTTGAAAAAATTCAAAATTTTTAAATCCCTAAGGCTTTTTTATTTTAACTTATTTTTCAAAAAATTTTTTTTCTTAGTGCTTACAATATTCTTCTTAACAATTTTGTGCATTCATTTATTGATATATCAATTAGAGTATTTTTTATAAAATATTTTGTAAAAAAGTAGAAAAAAAAGGGTAAAAATTCCTGTTAGGTATATATAACATGCTGTAAAAATTGTAATACCTTATAAAATGCTTATTCCATGCACAGTTTAAATAAGTGTATTATACTTAAGATAAAAAAGTTTACTTCAAATCTTTATCTTAAATAGAAAAAATTCCTTAGGGATTTAATCAAGATCAAAACACAAAATTATCATTTATGAGAAAAAGCCCTTTAAAGTTTGTCTGCAGAGCAAGATTCTGTATTAGGACAATCTAAAATCATTCATAACTTTTTCAAAAATATAGATAGAGACATAATTTTTTTTCAGTGCATTTGAAATATTCTGAAGTTTTATTATAAGCAATAAAAAAAAATTGGTATTTTTGTCACTTTTTGGGTACTGTGACCCCTTAAATGTGATCTTGAATTACTGTAAAAAGATTCTGTTAAAATGCAGTTCTCTAATTTCCCAACAGAAAATTTCTGTTTTCCATAAGTACAGAAGTTTGCTGCTAATGTACATAGTAACATTTTTTCCGATTAACGAATAAAATCTGCAACCATTGATACAGATTGTAACTGTTGGGTATAAATTTTTTCAGTTTTGGATATGAAAAACTTTAGAATCCAAGCGAAAAATTTATTTGAAGGAGGAATTTGAGGCATTGAAACGAGTGCCGATGGGTTGGAATATTGGTCAAGATGTTGGTCTATTTCTAGACCTCGTTCCTGTTTTTTCGTGTTGGAACTCCTGATCTAATGATGAAAAAAATAATAAAAATTCTGAGATAATTCTTTCAAATGTGAAAGATTTCAAAAATCCCGAAAAATTGAACAATTTAAAAACTAATCAGAATTTTAATCATTTTCCCTATGCAAACCAGAGGGTATACAGCTACTTTCATGCCACATTTCTCTGCCAACCTCGACCTACAAAAAATTTCTTCTGAGAACAAATATTTTCTGTAGTGTTTTGTTACAGGAAATTTCTGTAAACCTGCTTTTTCTGCAGCGTACTGGCAATGTTGCTGGCAGAAATTTTTCTTTATATAATTTATTTACAGTGTACAATTATTTTGTTTGAATAAAATAAGGCAAATTCAAAGAATTTCAGGGGGATATTGGCTCCAACGTAATAATATGTGGATTACTTATAATTTCAGAGTTTTTTCTCACACGTTTATTTACTTACAAAAATATAAATTTTAAGTTTTTATATTTTTAGATGTCAATAAAAAATGAACCTACATAGAAACTGAAGAATATTTGGTATAAAACACTTCAGTGTAAAATAAAAACCTAAAATGTTTCTGAAATATACTTCAATATACCTATAGTATATTTCACAAATGGACAAGCTTCTGATAATTCAACGCAATAAGATTTTTGAAATTATTAAAATATGAGAGTTGCGTCTTACTACGCTTTATTAACATCACAAAAAGATAGCCTCAATTACATTTACTCTACAGCGACTCTATTTAATCTACTATTTACAATTAGATCACAATATAATATACCCAAAATATAAAGCAATGAGATGCCTGCAAGTGACGTAGTGAGGGTATCTCGATCCTGATTGGTTGTTGAAACGTGGCCTTTGTTTACGTTAGCAACTATTCGTTCCATTCTATTTCGAGCCAAACACAGTCAAGAATCAATTCTCAAAAGTGACACATTCTTTCGCGAAGATTCTTTCTCAAATATTTCAATTCTTTCACTATATATTTACACAGACTTAACACAGAGACAGGCACGGAGCCATGCGAAACATAAACAAACCAATTATGTATCGAAGTTGTCCAGGTACACAAAACAAAAATACATGACAATTACATTAAAATACATAAACGAATAATAAATCTAAGTTAAGTAAAAGAAGTAGACGAGAGAGATTTATATTTCAACTAATTCGATGTGTGCACTGTATTTAGTTAAATTGTAGTTAATTAACATTCTAAGTTAAATAGAGAAACTTTGCTCAGCTTTGATACGACTTCTTGCAGATAAAGATTAGCTGGTGCTGACGTCATATGTCGCATGTGAGGATATGGAAGGTCTTCTTCTACTTGAAGAGCAAGTACCCAATTATGTCGTTAAGAATGTATTAAATTATATATATTTTAATTGAAATTTACAAAAAAAAAATAATTATTACACATTACTGAAACAAAAGTGAATAAATATACTGTATATTTGATAAATACATGCGATCTCTGATTACACTGAGAAGAAAATATATTTTTGTTTTTGGATATTTTTGTATCTTTTTGGTTCGGATCGCTTTCTATCTCGGATATTTTCACGTCTCTGATTTCAAATTTGCAATTGGTTTTTCCCTCCGACGTGCAGTTTTATGATAATGGCATTTTTAGTCTATTTTTTGTTGAAATGTACAATTTTAAAGTTGCTATTATTAAAAAGAAATCGCATAAATGTTGCTACTTCTATGAGAGTTTGGGCAGATCATCATGATTAAAATTAAATAAGAACCTATGCCCCGGAATATCGTCATACGTCACTGGGGTCGTTTCTCTATTATTAAATATATATATATATATATATATATTTGAAGTACTTTTA